GTTTAATATACACACATATAAAGCTCACTTATATATACAGTAAATATATATATATAAATAAATGTATAATTAACATTATCAAGCATACGTGTAACTAACAAGAAAGTATTATAGAACAAAAGTGAAAACGTGAGGAGGAGTATAATGAATGGAGTCGAGAGAAGTTGAAGTTAAAGTCGCAAGCGCCCATTTATCAACTATTTACATATGGAAAATCGAAATAGCAAAAAGAAAAAGCTTTAAAGGCAAACAACCCTACAAGTCTACATAGTACTTAGCCTTTGCATTAATAATAAAAACAAAACGAAAAGAAAAGAAAAGAACACATTAGACATGCTACTAAATTTATATTTAAATATTTTGCAATAATTGTAATTGGCAAAACTCGAAGCTCGAATTGCAATCCCAATGTCTTGGCATAAATTTATAAATATTATATATATATATATTCACAAAGCATATCCATTGTTTTTCAAAACAAAACTCCCATTAATTCTTACGTTGTTAATTTAGTTTATACATATTTGCAAAGACAAAGGCAAGCAAATAAATGAAATTATATTATTTAGAAACTTTGTTCAATCAAACTAACAACTAAAGCTCTTCTGTACTTATATATCCATACATACATACATCAAATATGTTGAAAGCACACAAACTGCCTGTTTTGCTAACATATTATTAGTTTTATGCAAAAATGGGGTATTATAATTAAGTTTTTATTAATTTGAACAAAAACCAAAACTGCAACTAATGCTTTGTATCTAAGTATATATATATAATTTACCACACCCACACACACATAAACAACTAAGAACTATAACTTCATTTTCAACTGTATTAGCAAAATTAATAAAAAAAAAAAACCATGTTCGTAAGAAACTGCTAAGACAATACCCTAAACGTCAACAGGATACATTTGACTATATGAAATGAATTATTCAAAGCAAGATAACTAAAATTCAAATATATACAAGTCTAGCATTATCTGCTATTTAAGTAACTAACAATCCAGGATAAGTGATAGGTTTCCTAATTTCTTCAAATTGTTTTTGGTTTATTTTTCATACAACTCTTTAAAATTGAAAAGGCTCATTTCGTTTTTTTAGTCCCTAAAATGATTTCTGTTGATGCTTAGCGTATTTAATAATGTACGTAACTGTAGCATTAAAAAACCAATATATAAAACAAAACTAATCTAAATTTATAAAATACTAACTGAAAAATTAAGTTGATTTGAACAAAAAAATATTGGTTTAATTGTTAACTTTTGTTGAAAATACATATTAAAAAAAAAAAAAAACAAGGAGAAATACACTTTACTATAGTAAAACTAAATACAAGATACACAATCTATTATTATACAAGGAGAAAAAAAAAACAAAACAAAACAAAACACATGCATATGTACATATATTTATATAATATTGTGAAAAGAAAAACTAACAATTTAGTAAAGGCAAAAATTCCGTTCTGGAGTTTTTTATATGTACCATATATATAAATTTAAATTTATTACAAAAAATATGCAAGTTTTTGTTTTTGTCATATTTTGACTTAGGTGTGGTAAAATATTTGACAATTTGATTTTATTGTTGAAAACTGGCGCCAAACACATTCCTATGTTAAACAACAGAGAAATGTTATGTTGAATAACAGCTTTGCTTGGCGATGTTAACATATGCTAGATAGTTAACAGCTGATTAATACAAAGCCTACATTCGACTATATTATTGTTACTTTCGTCATTTTAAACGACATTTTCTTTGGACGTCAATAATAAGAGAAAATAAAAATTTATATGTGGCTAACTAAACGAACAACAGTCGGAAAACTTGGTTCGTTCATTCGGTTTGCCGAGTTGTGCAATCGAACTGGTTCCGAAACGAATCGATAAGCAAGTCGATTGTAAACAATAAAAACAAAGAATATTTTACTCGACACAAAATTTGTTTTCCGCCCTAGTGTCCATTCCGCAGCCATGGACGCCACAACAAGTTTAGCCGACAAGCTGGCATCGAAAACGGCCAGCAGCAATTCGCTGGACAGCAGCTCGAAGTCAAGTTCGCTTGGCTCCAAGCACGGTGCCGAGAATGGCGTACTCAGGGATACGCCCTTTGCCTATTTGGAGGGCGAGGAGGATCAGGACCAAAAGAACGATGTCACCTATGTCTGCCCCTATCGCGGACCCGTCTTCGGCGCCCTAACCATCACCAATTATCGCTTGTACTTTCGTTCGCTGCCGCTGCGCGACCAGGAGCCACCCGTTGTCGTCGACGTGCCGCTGGGTGTTATTGCGCGTGTGGAGAAAATTGGTGGCGCCACGTCACGCGGCGAGAATAGCTACGGCATTGAGATATTCTGCAAGGATATGCGCAATCTGCGCTTCGCCCACAAGCAGCAGAATCACTCGCGTCGCACCGTCTTTGAGAAGCTGCAGGCGAACGCATTTCCGCTCTCCTACAGCGGCAAGCTGTTCGCCTTTGCGCATGCCGCGGCGGCACAGCCGCCCGCCGCCATTGCGGCCGTAAGCGCCGGCTGGGATGGCTGGGCCGTGTATGAGCCGCTGGCGGAGCTGCGACGTCTGGGCGTGCCCAATGATATGTGGCGTGCCACAAAGCTGAACGAATCGTATGGCATTTGTGATAGCTATCCGGCTGTTTGGGCCGTGCCTAAGGCGGCCTCTGATGATTTTCTGCGTCGCGTTGCGCAGTTCCGTTCACGTTGCCGTTTGCCAGTTTTGTCCTGGATGAATCCTCGGACACAGGCAACGATAACGCGCTGCTCCCAGCCGCTGGTGGGCGTCAGCGGCAAACGCAATGCAGACGATGAGACCTATCTAAGCTATATTATGGAGGCGAATGCACAGTCGGACAAGCTGACCATTATGGATGCCCGGCCCAGCGCGAATGCCATTGCGAACAAGGCAAAGGGTGGCGGCTACGAGTCGGAGGATGCCTACAAAAATGTGGAAATCAATTTCCTAGACATACACAACATACATGTTATGCGCGAGAGCCTGCGCAAGGTGAAGGAAGCCTGCTATCCCACCACTGACGACTCCAAGTGGCAGACGGCCATCGATAGCACATTGTGGCTGAAGCATATACGCTGCATTTTGGCCGGGGCTGTGCGTATCGTGGACAAGGTGGAGACGATGAGCACTTCGGTTGTGGTGCACTGTTCCGATGGCTGGGATCGCACAGCCCAGCTGACGGCGTTATCCATGCTGCTGCTGGATCCGCACTATCGCACCGTGCGCGGCTTTGAGGTGCTCATCGAAAAGGAATGGCTGTCCTTTGGCCACAAATTCCAGCAACGGATTGGCCATGGCGATAACAAGCATTCGGATGCGGATCGCTCGCCAGTTTTTCTGCAGTTCATTGACAGCGTATGGCAAGTGAGTCAACAGTTTGTCAATGCATTCGAATTCAATGAGCACTTTCTCATCACAATTGCGGATCATCTGTATTCGTGTCGTTTTGGTACCTTCCTGTGCAACACCGAGGCGGAGCGTGTGGCAGAGGGTAAGCTACATAATATACATATCTATTTTTCTCCAATTAGTAAGTTCTATACTGTTCCGCCCAGATCTGAAGCACAAAACAATTTCGCTGTGGACGCACATAAACTCCTCGCTGGATCAGTATCTGAATCCGCTCTTTCCCTCGTTCACGCACGGCCCCGAGCCCGTGTTGCGTCCCATTGCCAGCGTGCGGGCGGTGCGTCTCTGGAAGGGTCTCTACTGCCGCTGGAATCCGGGCTTGTGCGCGCCCCAGCACGGCTGCCAGCGTACACGAGAGCTGCTCTCCAAGCAGGATCAGCTGTTCAAGCATGTGAATGAGCTGCGCCTGAAGCTAAACAATCGCAGCAACAACATGCAGACGACCACGCGATTGGCCTCGCCCATGCATTAAATATAGTATTTTCTTTAACGTTTATTTTCTTGCTCCAACTAGTTCCCATTAACCGTATTAACGACACAACTTATACATGCCATTTCCATGTACTACCCTATTAACGAATTGTTTAATCCAAAAATAATGTGCATAAGCAGCAATACTAATAAATATATACATAATATAACTAATATATATATATATATATATTCATGAAGCGTTGTTTTCTGTTTTTATAGCCGTAACGTGCAATTAATTGATGGCAAAGCGGATTTGTATTGAAACAACTGCAGATAATAGAAATGTGTTTCACTTTTATGAGCGCAAAGAATAAACATTTTAGCAATTAACAAAACCTTCTGGTGCAAAACATAATCTACTTGCTCCATAAATATTTTCCGTCAGCTCTTAATCGAAAGTTGCCATCGAATTTAGAATTTAAATATGCTAGCTAGTTTCTAAAACATTTGCGGAATTATAGAATCAGTTAAAAGCCAGCTTTATTGGCCGTCACATAAAATATCCAAGGAACACTTTCTTAACAGCTTTTGTTCTTAAATAAAGAACAATTAACATTTTTAAGATCAGGGCATTTAAGGAAAGTGAATTCATAAATTACAATCAAATCAAGTCTTTATTCTCCGCAATCTCAGGATCCTCACAAACTTGGAATAGACGGGCAAATAATCCTTCAAAGTAGCTGTAAATCACAGGGCGCACTATATACTTTTGTCATACACACACACACACACACACACATACCCACACCGACACACACAGTGGCACGTTAATTCATTGTCATTGCCAGTGGGCGTTGCCAACTGTTGCGCGCAATTCCAAATTCATTCATAAAAATTTACCGCACTTTGGCGCCTGCGCATTTGCGATAAGCATGTGCCAGCCAGCAATTGAATGCCCTTTTGCGCCAAAAATTACAAAACACAATCACAGTTGCTTCAGTACGTTTTCGCACGTTCATTAATGCAGTCGCATTTTGGGAACGGCGCCACTTTGCAGTGATTGGCAACGCGACGCACAGTCGTAACAGCGTGTTAAAGTGCTGTTGCTGTTGCAATATCAGCTCTGTTAACCGTAAAATGTTAACATATTAATACAAATTTTAGGAACAAAAAAAAGTGCAAATAATGCAGTTAAAGCCCAGTTTCTTGGTATTGCCATTTTTATTGTGTCTTGGCCGTGTTTGTGTGGGTAAAGAAATACTCTTGATCATTTCCTGTCCACAACAAGCCGAAATTAACTGTCGAGCACTGCGCGAAAGCCTGCTGCAACAACAACAACAACAACAACTAAACGAGGCAATTCCAACGGATTATGATTACGACATTAAGGTGCACATATTGCAAGAACTATTCAATTATTGGACCCTGCTGGACGCGCTGCCCTATTTGCGAGGCCAGACACGTTTACTAAACACGAATACCGATTGGATTATTTGGTGCCAGCACAACACGCACGTCCCCTCGCTGCGTGGCCTGCTCGAGCAGCTGCATCGTCGGGATGCGCAAGAGGTGAATTTCGTTTTCTTAACAAATCATTTCGAAAAATTTAGAAAAAACAAAGATGTGTTGGAAAGTGGGAATAACTCCCATGAATAAAGATGCATACCAAAAATGTTCTACAAATTAGATGACAGTTATTAATGAAAATATGTCGGGTATAAGAGAGAACAGTGCAAAAATATGATATAACGAATTTTTCCAAGCATTAAACAATTTTCTAATGAAGAGTTTTATGGATTCTACAATCAGAAGCAAATGCTTTCCCAATTAATGTAACAAATGTTAAATGAAACATTAAAAATACCTTAAAAATACCCTTTTAATTCAAAATAAATACTCTAAAAAGTTTGCCGAAAAAAACTGTATATATTAAATTGAAAAGTTATACCTCTAGAAAAGCGATTGTTCCTATAAGAGCTATGTGACAAGATTAAAACAGTTAGAAGAAGATTTAGCTGTTGAAACAGATCGAGAATAAATGACATAAGAATACCATATATTTATGCGCCAGGGTTTACAGCCTTACAAGAGCTAACATTCTTAATTGGATGCAAAGCTTTTTAAAATGTTTAATTTCCGACATCTTAACTTAATGTTGGTTATCAAATTAATAACTGTATTCACCTTGCTCACCTTTTGTTGTTCTTGGTGTTTTGAAAGTTGGCCTACTACGGACACGCGTTGTACGATGCTGAGGCGACCATTGTGCATCATTTTGCGAACTACAAGGATCCAACATGGTTTCCATATCCCATGCTAAGTGCTGGCGTTGTTTTCACCGGCGCTTTGCTGCGCAGGTGAGTGTCGGAACATACAGAATGTTTGAGCATGGCCATGGCCATAACTCATCATGGAACATGCATTTTCAGCCTGGTCGAACTTGTTGCTGTTAATGCCCCGAATGCCACAAGGCACAGCGAATTTGCGATAGATGCGGCCCATGAGCTGGCCCGATTCATTTTCGATAATTTAGCACCTGCCGTGCCAAATGCTGATGATGATGATGGCAAAACTAGAAGCAGCAGCAGCAGCAGCAGCAGAAACAACATCAACATCGGCAAAAGAGACGTCGACTTTGTCGACATGTTGCAGCGCAAAATAATTTTGAAAAGTGCTGACTACATTTGTCCCTGGGCGAGAGTGTCGCCAGCCTGGTCGTTGGCATCCTCAGAGACGACAGCGAAGAAGCAAGCGCCGGCGTCGGAGCCTCTGCCCTGTTTCTTGCATGCAAAGCCGGAAGTGGCCGCTGGGAATGCTGCACATTGTGTGAGTTGAATAATGGGGCGTATTCACATCAAGTGGCGGTGGGGTCATTTCAGATTGAACACATAAGGAACGGCCAGCAGAATTTGATGGGATTAAAGTAAAGTACATTCGCTGTTGCCTGAATAGCTCAGTGTCCCTTCCCTGCATAGCCCACATACTACACACACACACACACTCATGGTCAGAATAATCAGTACATTACCCCAACCTTTTATGCAAATATTTTAGCTTATATTAATTATATTCTCTTTTTCATTATGTTGTCAAAAAGTATAGAACAAAATAGTTTAAAAAAATATCAATACATACATACATAACTGTGAATAATTAGCCGCAGCTTATATTCTTTCGAGCTTCAGAATACTCTCTCTCTCTCTCTCTCTCGCTCTCGTCATTTTTCCTTTCCACTCTCATCCTGTGGCAAATTTTTCTATGTTTTATTTCACGCCATTTTGCTTTAATGAAAAAAGCGACTCAAATTTTACACATAGTTCCATAACTATATACATAAGTAGGTTGGTTTACAGGCACAAAATGGTTGAAACACTGACGATGTATTAACTTTGTAGAATATTTAATTAAACACACACGAGCTGAACTAATCGCGCTGAGCACCAATTACTTTGACGAAAAAAAAACGATATCATATGCACGCGCGAATGGTGCAATCGATCTAAAGAGCAGACGCGCACAGACTAAATCATCTCGAAAGACTTTCGCAATAATGCACTAATACTAATACAACTCCTGCGCTCGGTCCTCTCACACTGCTCGCGCTCTACGCTGGATACGCTACCAAGATAACGGGATCAGCGTCAGTAGGCATATGCATAAATAAGCTCTCTCACTCATACCATCAAAAACGCCATACGTATGACGAGATCAAGCGCATGAGTGCCAACAGTGGGAACTAGATAATTAATTATCTTGCACGCTCAGAGTATGCACAATGTCCACTCTCTAAATGAACGATATTTGGCCTCTACTATTACTGTACCCACATTAGAGGATTCACTTTGTTCGCCATCTTTTTATGAGAGAGCTTTGAAAATTAGTTCATTTCGCAAGACAGGGTAAAAATCTGTTAAGCCCGACTTTCATGAATTTTAACATGAATCATAACATAGATTGGATACAAACTTAAATAATTTAACAGAGTTTTAGTTGTTTACATTTTTTTCACCTTACTGCGAGGCACATGTCAGAAAATGTGACATTTATTTAATACTAAAATTAATTTATATTAATAGTTTGATAATAAAATTCAGCCTAAATATGATGCAATTATTAAATATTTTATATTTGTTAAGACCATTTCGCATTGAATTCTCAATACAATAAATTTGTTTGATTTATTTATTATTCATTTTTCGTCGGCATATTTTAATTTATACTTTGCCTAAAAGCTCCAAAATTCCTTAAAAATTTAGTGAATTTGGACTTAAAAAAGACAGAGCATTTACTTTCACAAATAATAAAATATTACGCATACGCTCCGTGGCGCTTCCAGAAACCCGACGTATGTGTAATTAACTTTAAATTGTTAACTGCATGTTTTTTATTTTATATTAAATTTCAAGAAATTAAATGAAATACTTTGTACATAAACAATGTCATTGCTATGGCAACAAAGTCACATGTTTAGCTTAATGTTTTTGCGATTTAAAGGACGACAAACATTTGTCCAGACCTGCTCGAACGGGGCATTCAGGCAATTAGCATTTGAAACCTATAACCATAAATTCTCTGACAACGGTCAAACACAAACTGAAACTCAAGCCCAAACGATTCTCACCCACAACAGGTGCACACAACTGGCGCACACATCTATTTTGCAATCAAGACCTGTGCAAAATTCCATAAGGAGCGTATACCAATCATCGAACGCACCTGGGCGCCCGATGCCATGCGGCGCAAATACTACAGCGATGTGGCAGGTAAAGCGACACAACACGACAACGATGAACGCAATTAAAGCAAATGAGTGCCTGCTGCCTTCACTCTGAATTTGGGCGGAACGGGACGGGGCGGGGCGGGACGGGACGTGCGGGACGGTGTGTAGAAAATAGACAAACACTCGCACACTTGCATACAAAAACAAGTAAGAGTGCGCTAGGCGGCAGTGCACGACTATTAAATACTCTGTAGTCGCCTTCATTGTTCGTGCTTGAAGAAACTAGGACTTTGCTAAGGGAAACAACAGCAATGTCCTAGTCTCTGTAAAAGATATCCCTTAAATAACTTAACTTTTTATAGTCCGATTAAATTATTCGGGAAATTGAAAATCTTTCAAAAATGAAATACTCTTCGAACAGAAATCAGACTGCATTGCTAAAATTTATGTATATAGCTTCTAAAATCTCCAAGTTATGCTTACAAATGTATTTTTCCAAATCGATTTTTATCGATTTTATGAAGAAAAACTGATATTAATCGATTTTATAAAGACTGAGCTAAAATAATATATAAACTTGTTCCTGTTAAGATATACAAGAAAATATATTTAAAAATGCAGGCTTAACGCTTTTGTAGTTGTCCGATAGAACTGGCTAGATCGACTAGATTATAAGTATATAACACTACAGTACAGTAGTACAGGGTATTACAAGAGGCAAACTAAACATGCAAGCACACCCAAACACACACACACACACAAGTATAGCCTCGAGCTGGATGACTCGCAAAGACCTGGAGTCAAACAGTTTGCAATTGCAGCAGCTGCCATATTGAATATTCATTGATTTGTCTTTATGATCTTTCACCTGCGGAAACAACAACTGCACTACCATTGGCAACCGCAACAGATGCCGGCATACCAACAATCAGCACGGGCCAAGCCAATGTGCCGACAGGACATTGTGCCAAGACATTGGCTATTTTGCAATTATCCCTCAAGGATATCAACGAGCAGGCGGACATACGCTGGCTAATGCTTGTCGACGACGATACGCTTCTCAGGTGTGTATATGTGTGTGCGTGTGTGTAGGTGTGTGTAGGTGTGTGCGCGTGTGTATCAAGGCTGCAAACGGCTTTTTGATCCGAAATGCTTTGAATTGGCATTGTTGGGTCAAGGAAGAGCCGCATCTCAATCTGAAGCGAACCACTTATTTCTTATTTTCTGGTTCAAACTGATTTTTTTCTTTTTTTAAATATTAATGCAACATTTTTAGTTTTTTCAGTTCAGTATAAACAAAATATACATTTAATTATATTTCATTTTTCTGTTGCAAAATTTGATGAACTAAGGATGCGTTCATTGGAGCCAGATTCATGAACCAAAGCATGGCTCTGAACCGTGAACCGAACCACTCACAACTTTTTTGGTTAAGTTTGCAGCTTTGATGTGTGTGTGTGTGCGTGTGAGCCAGGATTTTTTATGCGGCTTACACGGCTCAAAGCACATTCAATTTAAATTATCATTGTTATTCTTCTTCTTCTTGTTTATATCAATATATATATGTATATGGATTTTTGATTGATACCAATACGCAGCGTGCCCCGTCTGAGCGCCCTGCTGAGCTGCTACAACCACACGGCGCACATGTATCTGGGCGAACGCTATGGCTATCGGCTGTATGCGCCGGATGGCTTCAATTATCATACGGGCGGCGCTGGCATTGTGCTCAGCGTGCCGCTGGTCCGGCTCATGGTGGAGCACTGCAGCTGCCCGGCGGCCAGCGCGCCGGACGACATGATATTGGGCTACTGCCTGCAGGCGCTGGGCGTGCCGGCCGTGCATGTGCCCGGCCTGCATCAAGCACGGCCACAGGACTATGCGCCGGAGCTGCTGCAGCTAAATGCGCCCATTTCGTTTCACAAATACTGGCACACATCGCCGGAGCACACGTACACGCGCTGGCTGGGCGGCACCTTGGCCAATGCCAGCAGTGCGCGTCACGCGTCCCGTCCTTGCAAAGATCGGCTGGGCACACCATTGCAGCTGCACGGACGCGGCCTGCTGCAGCTGGCCAATATGGGTGCTGGCTGGGAGGGCGGCACCTCAAAGCATCATCTGGACCTCTAGTTTCAGATCAGGTGAGTGGCGGAGCAAAAGTATTACCTGAAGCGCATTTAGAAAGCAACAAATCCAAACGAATGCCGCTGACACTGGCAGTTGGACAAATGTTGTCGCCACAAAGCCGTGGCCTGTCCAAAATATTCAATCTACTCCAGCCAGAAACCAGAGCTGCAGCCATCAAGCGCCTGCCAAGCACACACACACACACACACACCCACACAAATTTTCCATTTTCTACACGGAAAAACTTTGCAGTTGTTGAGTGGGAAAAAGGTGTGCGGCAAGCGCTGATTTGTTCATTCGGGTTGTGTGTGTGTGTGTGTTTTGTGGTTTCATGTCTCTTTAATTAGTGGAAATGCTTAAATGTGGTTGCGAATCGCGAGAATGGTGCAGACTTTTTGGAGGTTTCGCCAGGTTCCAAGAATCTAATATTTTATAAAGTTACCAAGCAACACTGCATAATTATTTTTAAAACGCCGAACACAAAATACCTTTGTGGGCATTAGGAGCCTAATTTTCAATCGATCGTTGCCAAATTGATAATATATATACTATATAATATAGTAGTCCGATGTTGACAAAACAATTTGTCCTAAGTAAGCAGTAAATGTCAAGTTTTACCAAGATATTCATGGACAACAAAAAATGTTTCATACAAGTACTTCATTTTTATACCCTGAACCCATTAAAAATGGGTATAAGGGTATATTGTTTTTGTGCAAAATCCAAATGTATGTAACAGGCAGAATGAAGCATCTCCGACCCCATAAAGTGTATATATTCTTGATCAGCATAAATAGCTGAGCCGATCAAGCCATGTCCGTCTGTCTGTCCGTCCGTCCGTCCGTCCGTATGTATGAACGCAAGGATCTCAGAATCTATAAGAGCTAGAGGCTTGAAATTTTAGATGTAGATGCTCCTAGCTCCCGCGCAGATCGAGTTTGTTTCCGATAATCGATAACTTCCTCCGTTTCCAAGCAATCGATAAAAATCGATATCGATATCCTGTTTTTTGGGCAATTTTGGTAAATAATAAGAACTAGAGTCACCAAACTTGACATATAATTTCTAAAATAGAATATATATATGATATAGGATTTTTCTTCATGGTTTTTCCTCTAGATTAATCTGGCATTCAAATATGAACAGCGATTTTTTAGTCGAAATTCATGTCCAAATCTTACCCCAAGATTAGTATATAGACATGGGTCAAAATTTACCACCCCCATATCTCGGCCAAATCTCATCCGATTTTCACGAAGTTTGGATTTTTCTTCATGGTTTTTCCTCTAGAATAATCTGGCATTCAAATATGAACAGCGATTTTTTAGTCGAAATTCATGTCCAAATCTTACCCCAAGATTCGTATCTAGACATGGTTCAAAATTTACCACCCCCATATCTCGGCCAAATCTCATCCGATTTTCACGAAGTTTGGATTTTTCTTCATGGTTTTTCCTCTAGAATAATCTGGCATTCAAATATAAACAGCGATTTTTTAGTCGAAATTCATGTCCAAATCTTACCCCAAGATTCGTATATAGACATGGGTCAAAATTTACCACCCCCATAACTCGGTCAAATTTCACCCGATTTTCATGAAGTTTGGATTTTTCTTCATGGTTTTCCCTCTAGATTAATCTGGCATTCAAATATGAACAGCGATTTTTTAGTCGAAATTCATGTCCAAATCTTACCCCAAGATTAGTATATAGACATGGGTCAAAATTTACCACCCCCATAACTCGGTCAAATTTCACCCGATTTTCATGAAGTTTGGATTTTTCTTCATGGTTTTCCCTCTAGATTAATCTGGCATTCAAATATGAACAGCGATTTTTTAGTCGAAATTCATGTCCAAATCTTACCCCAAGATTCGTATATAGACATGGGTCAAAATTTACCACCCCCATAACTCGGTCAAATTTCACCCGAGTTTCATGAAGTTTGGATTTTTCTTCATGGTTTTCCTTCTAGATTAATCTGGCATTCAAATATGAACAGCGATTTTTTAGTCGAAATTCATGTCCAAATCTTACCCCAAGATTCGTATCTAGACATGGTTCAAAATTTACCACCCCCATAACTCGGTCAAATCTCATCCGATTTTCATGAAGTTTGGATTTTTCTTCATGTTTTTTCCTCTAGAATAATCTGGCATTCAAATATGAACAGCGATTTTTTAGTCGAAATTCATGTCCAAATCTTACCCCAAGATTCGTTTATAGACATGGGTCAAAATTTACCACCCCCATATCTCGGCCAAATCTCATCCGATTTTCACGAAGTTTGGATTTTTCTTCATGGTTTTTCCTCTAGAATAATCTGGCATTCAAATATGAACAGCGATTTTTTAGTCGAAATTCATGTCCAAATCTTACCCCAAGATTCGTTTATAGACATGGGTCAAAATTTACCACCCCCATAACTCGGCCAAATCTCATTCGATTTTCACGAAGTTTGGATTTTTCTTCATGGTTTTTCCTCTAGAATAATCTGGCATTGAAATATGAACAGCGATTTTTTAATCGAAATTCATGTCCAAATCTTACCCCAAGATTCGTATATAGACATGGGTCAAAATTTACCACCCCCATAACTCGGTCAAATTTCACCCGATTTTCACGAAGTTTGGATTTTTCTTCATGGTTTTCCCTCTAGAATAATCTGGCATTCAAATATGAACAGCGATTTTTTAGTCGAAATTCATGTCCAAATCTTACCCCAAGATTCGTATATAGACATGGGTCAAAATTTACCACCCCCATAACTCGGTCAAATTTCACCCGATTTTCATGAAGTTTGGATTTTTCTTCATGGTTTTCCTTCTAGATTAATCTGGCATTCAAATATGAACAGCGATTTTTTAGTCGAAATTCATGTCCAAATCTTACCCCAAGATTCGTATATAGACATGGGTCAAAATTTACCACCCCCATAACTCGGTCAAATTTCACCCGATTTTCACGAAGTTTGGATTTTTCTTCATGGTTTTCCCTCTAGAATAATCTGGCATTCAAATATGAACAGCGATTTTTTAGTCGAAATTCATGTCCAAATCTTACCCCAAGATTAGTATATAGACATGGGTCAAAATTTACCACCCCCATAACTCGGTCAAATTTCACCCGATTTTCATGAAGTTTGGATTTTTCTTCATGGTTTTCCTTCTAGATTATTCTGGCATTCAAATATGAACAGCGATTTTTTAGTCGAAATTCATGTCCAAATCTTACCCCAAGATTCGTATCTAGACATGGTTCAAAATTTACCACCCCCATATCTCGGCCAAATCTCATCCGATTTTCACGAAGTTTGGATTTTTCTTCATGGTTTTTCCTCTAGAATAATCTGGCATTCAAATATGAACAGCGATTTTTTAGTCGAAATTCATGTCCAAATCTTACCCCAAGATTCGTTTATAGACATGGGTCAAAATTTACCACCCCCATAACTCGGCCAAATCTCATCCGATTTTCACGAAGTTTGGATTTTTCTTCATGGTTTTTCCTCTAGAATAATCTGGCATTGAAATATGAACAGCGATTTTTTAGTCGAAATTCATGTCCAAATCTTACCCCAAGATTAGTATATAGACATGGGTCAAAATTTACCACCCCCATAACTCGGTCAAATTTCACCCGATTTTCATGAAGTTTGGATTTTTCTTCATGGTTTTCCCTCTAGATTAATCTGGCATTCAAATATGAACAGCGACTTTTTAGTCGAAATTCATGTCCAAATCTTACCCCAAGATTAGTATATAGACATGGGTCAAAATTTACCACCCCCATAACTCGGCCAAATCTCATCCGATTTTCACGAAGTTTGGATTTTTCTTCATGGTTTTCCCTCTAGAATAATCTGGCATTAAAATATGAACAGCGATTTTTTAGTCGAAATTCATGTCCAAATCTTACCCCAAGATTAGTATATAGACATGGGTCAAAATTTACCACCCCCATAACTCGGCCAAATCTCATCCGATTTTCATGAAGTTTGGCTTTTTATACCCTGTGCGAAAGCCAAATGTATGTAACAGGCAGAAGGAAGCAACTCCGACCCCATAAAGTATATATATTCTTGATCAGCATCAATAGCCGAGTCGATCTAGCCATGTCCGTCTGTCTGTCCGTCCGTCCGTATGTACAAACGCAAGGATCTCAGAACCTATAAGAGCTAGAGACTAGAGAGAAATTTTAGATGTAGGTGCTCCTAGTGCCTGCGCAGATCGAGTTTGTTTCCGATAATCGATAACTTGCTCCGTTTCCAAGCAATCGATATCGATATCCTGTTTTTTGGGCAATTTTGGTAAATAATAAGAGCTAGAGTCACCAAACTTGACATATAGCTTCCAAAATAGAATATATATATACATTTGATATTGAAAGGAGATGGTTCAGGGTATCCCCTAGTCGGGAGCTCCCGACTAGAACCTCTTACTCGTGGTTTTTTTTCTCTATATAAAAACTTATTAAATACGTGTGTCAGCGATTTTTTAAATTTCACCCAGAAGTGTGGAAAATTGAGTTGCATGCAAATAATTATGAAAACGTATTTTAGCGATTTTAAAACCTCACCCGCAACTGTGAAAAGTGCTAATAAATATAATAATAAATTGACTCACCCTTTGTTGTATTTCAGATTAAATATCCAAAAGCAGGCAATTGTTCAGAAGTCAAGACAATGAATTTATCTAAAAGTGAAATGTGAAAATAAATGTCATTAAACTGAAGTCCATGAAAAAGGTAACCAAAATTTAAACGCAAGCATAAAATTTAAAAGGGAATTGAAGCTTGAAATCTTGATACTAACTTATATGTATTATATAGTAATAAATGTAAAAAAGATGATATTTATTTCATCAAACTTAATATATCTCTGTTTTTGATTACAAAAAATACAACTGAAAAACCAGTTTTATATATATATTTTTTTTTAATTTCCAAAGGTCTTCAATTATAAATTTTCGTTCTACAGAAAACATTTGATTAATCTTTTAAAATTTATTTTTTTAAAGAAAAGTCTATACTTTTTAGGCAAAATCATTTATATTAGAGCTGCGACATTGGGCACAAAATTTGCATTTTATTTCAATTTGGTAGCACTCGAAGACCACCAGCAGCTCATCCGTATCACTTAAAGCTGAAAGCATGGCCAAGCAATTTGAATGACTTTTTCGCACCTTACACTTACTTAAACCTCATTAAATGTAAATTTGTGCAAGGACCAGCTCGAGGACGACAGCTGGGCTCCGGCGTTGATGAGGGGCATCAACGGTTTACGCTCGACTGCATTATTCGAGTGGTTTATCCGACGGCGGTTGGCTGGATGCCCCAACTGAACTGAACTCAACTGAACCAAATGGTGGATGCATCTTTGAGATATTCGCCGATAAACAAACAATGCGCTTCATTTATCCGCCCATGCCGCACAGATTGCCAGCCCCATTGAACGCCATGCCTGCGACGTTGCATGCAACATACTTCAATGCAGACTCATGCAACCCAAAGTGCATCTATTATTCAAATACTAATCAATACTTTTCGCAAGTATACCCGTCGCCTTGGGAGGTTGGGGAATTCGGACGACTTTACTAAATAGGTGAAAACAATGTGTCAGCTTATTTGGACGCGTTGACAGTTGTAATTGTCTGCGGTTGTTTTCTCGTTTAACTTCAATTATTCAACGAGTTAGTGAAAGTTTAGTTGTGTTTGCTGCGAGCTGCCAAATTTAAGACATGCCCCAAAGTTAATGCCATCAATTGACTAACAATATTTGGGGTGCACATAGAGGAAAACTATTCGTATTCAATTTGGGTCATGCTGTTAGTATTATTCCCTCACCAACAGCTTCAGAAGGTTTATTTACATTCTTTGTATACCCTGTACTCGCAATAAATTGGGTCGGATGACGACCGCATAAGCAACATATTATAATTCCATACTGTCAGTCGATTCGCATATCAATTATATTTTATGTTATCGATAACTATTCTTCCCATTTATCGATAACCGATTTCACCAAATGTCGATATCGATATCGAAAAAAACAAAAAGTCGCTAGAAACAGGCTACAGGATATGCCTAAGTCGGGCAATCTCCTCTCTTGCTACTTAAGTAGAAACTTAAGTAGATATATGTAAAAATTATATGCAAAAAATATGAAGAATAAAGTGATAAATTAATTAATTGAACTATTTTAAACAGGATAGTGAGGATATCTTTGGCATGGTGAATCTCGAAAATGCTAAGTTTGATTAAAATATCTTGAAAAAATGGACATGTTTCTATAATTTTCAGCCGAACTTTCCTATGTCAGCTATAAGGTAGAGAGCAGAGTGCCAAGTTTCCAGATATCTTGGTAAACAAAAATGTCAGACCATAAAAAAAGCTTTAAAGTAAAGTGAGGCATAATTATTATTTTGAATCATAGTTTGGGGAAATTATTTGAGCAAAGTTTTCAGAGCATATCGGAAAGACTTGTATAAATGAGAAAATCTCTTTTAAATATATATTAGTTTATTTACTTATTTTTCCTTTGCAGCTCAAAGGCTTGAAATACAAAAGACGAGCCCTATAAAATGCGCCCAAGGCTGTCAGCTTAGGTAAAGGTATATGCAAGTCTCTCAGTTCTTTAAAGTCTTTTCACATACTTTGTGGCTGTGTCTGGGTCTGGGTTTATTTGCGCTCGTCTGGCTGTGAACGCGACACTCGACTCGACTTGCTTATCTCTGGCGTGGCAGAGGAGGCAACGTGCCAGGCGGGCACAGGAAGACACATTCTCATCTACGAGGACGTGTACTTCCTGCCGCTTCGTGCCCTAATTAGTTGCGGATTTTTCAATGAATACGAACGAAGCAACAACAGCCACCGCATGCCGGCAATGCGACAACTTGAATTCCAAATAAATTTAATTACCAACCAAGTTGCAGTTAAATAAATGTACATATACACAAACATATATATATATTTATATATATATAAATATATATTCGCAATCAACGCCAGTCGTAGTCATCTTCCTCAGACTCCGCATAGTCTACGGGCACATTTCCATCATTTCCATAGTCATCATCGTAGTAGCCATCATTCACATCCACATCTTCTTCCACTGAGTTCGCCTGGCGTGGCCCCACAAAACTGATCGCATTTCGCGGCAGCAGCTGTATCTTGGCCAGGTTGCGTTGTTTGTCATTCTTGTAGAGCTGAAATGTTGCCGGTTGCATGGGATCACTGGGACTCCAGGGCAGGGCATAGAGTGTGCTTAGCGAGAGAACTGCGCGTTGGGATAAATATTTTCGAATTTGTCAAGTATCAGTAGGTCATTTATAACTTTTTCTCATTTTAAGTGCAACTACTAAAACTGAACTAAACTGACTGTAGCTTTTTCTTTATAGATGATAAGCAACCAAATAGGATTTTTGATTGATTTGTTAATTGTTAGTTTGCTATAGATGTGCTATATTTCCTATAGATGTGCTATACGCTTTTTATTTCATTCATACCCAAGTAGAGGATATTATAATTTTGTCATATAATGTGTAACGCAAAGAAGAGGACGTCTCCGATCCCAAAAAGTATATATATTCTAGATCAGCATCTGTAGCCGAGTTTCTATGCGAACAAGTCTTTCAGAAAGCCTATCTTATCCGTCCTTCTGTTGTAAGCAGCACATATGTCCGAACTGGCCGGATCGAAGCACTATATCATATAGCTATCATAGGAACGTTCGGTCGAAAAGTACGTTCAGGTATGGAACACGATTTTGTTTATCAAGTTATCTAAACCAAACTCGGCTTCAACTATTTTCCCTGTGCTTCTTAGATACGGGCAAAGCACTATAAGCATTATGAAAAGGTTGGGTATGCAAGGGTATTAGATCTTCGGCGTGCCGAAAATAGGCTTTCTTTCTCGCTACATGTATGCAAATTGTATTCTATCAACATCGGACTAATATATCATCCATAGGAACGTTCGGCCGAAAAGTAGTATGGCAAAATATTCTCTTTTTCAAGATATTCTCTTCAAACTCAACATCTAAAAGCTTCACATATCTGTAAAACCTTAAGGCAAATGCCTATTAGAGTATTAGGTTTTCGGTGTGCCGAATATATTCCCAGTTTCTAGTTTAAAATTTGGACAACTTTTGCGTTCTCTCTACTTACCAAAGCAAGCCAGCACAACTGTCAACTGCATTTTCACAATATCAACTGAGGCTGCTTCTGAAATGCATTTGGGCTTTTTATAGCAAACATTTGGAGGCCGCGCTTATTTGTGGACAATAAGCTTTTCTTTTAATGCTGATTTGATGAGCATTTAATGGAAAGTAAAAGTTGTTAGCCCTTCTTTTTGTCGTTAAACAAATTTAATATGCAACATATTTGTATTGATTTTGTCAACGATTTTGATAGCTACAGAACTTTGAATAGTCAAACAACTTGGATTTTATGTCTTATGCAGATTACAAAAATTGGTTAATTTAAGCTCGAGTTAGTTGGGTTTTTGTTGTTGTTAGTTTATGTCTTTTCACTTTTGACGCTGTCAAAGTTGCTTGAGGCTTCTTTAATCTACGAAATACATAAAAAATGAAAACTCCAAAGAAAATGTCAAAAATTGTGCACATTATCTTGAGAGTTTCATGCAGCATTTGCCTTTGCATAAAATTACAGTTTGTCCCTGGCGAGGACACATGCGCAAATAGAGAGAAGAGATTACATGGACATGGGTGTTGCTTGTGGCTACTTGAAAGTAGATTATACGCAACACGCACAATGTCACGTCGGTAAAGGTCCAGCTGGGGTGTGGCTTGGTTTGGTTTGACTCGCCTTGGGTTTGGCGTTAATCTTAGTCCAAACATCAAAAAGTTAAGCCACAACAAAATTTAAGTAAACGCCCAACCCGGCCCACCGCACAACCAAAAACGAAATGAAGCATGAACAGAAATTGTTTAAAAAGATTTCTCTCATACAATGTGCAACAAAATCCTTGGCGATTTGGCAAACAGTTTGTGAATAGGTTTGGGGACCAACTGTAGCTGCCACCTCTTGGACTCTGTGTGTTCGTGTTCCTTGACGCAAGTTTCACTTGAGCTCAACTCAGCTCAACTCAGCTCAACTCAGCTCAGCTTAGCTCAGCTTGGCCAATTCCCATTTGAATTTAGTCAATTGTTTTAGTTTTGTGTTTGAATTTGAACACACTGGCAAACTAACTTGGCTACGTTTTGATTTGCGCAGCTGGACTTGTATGTAAATTTACAATTTGTTATAGTCTAGGGCATTATAATATGTATGGAGTAAACAGCATATTGATTTGAGTTTTAATCCTAGTCAATGTATTTTTCATTAATTTAAATTCAAAGTAGAAATTGTTTAATAACCTTTTTAAATGTTCTAAAAGCTTTCGTTTTTATTTGTTATAGCCTGAATCCATTGAAACTGGGTGTAAAGGGAAAAGGAAGCATCTCCGACTCCATAAAGTACATCAATTCTTGGCCAGCATCAACAGCCAAGTCGATTAAGTTATGCCCGTCCGTCCGTCCTTCTGTCCGTCCGTCCGTATAATTTGAATGCGTCGATCCCAGAGCCTATAAGAGCTAGAGACTTGAACGCAGGTCCTGATTGCGAGACATATACTTAAATGGCATGCTTCCCTGACATGGACATATTTTATATATTACTTTTTTCTCTATTTCCTCTAGATTCAGTAATATT